CCCTGGGCTGAGGGTGTCTTGTGCACCAAGCCCTACAGCGCTCGCCACTCGGCTGTCGACTCCACTTGTCAACGGAAAGGTCAAACCTCGGTCAGCTGCTTTACGAGTCTTGGTCTTCCGGATTGCACGCGTTCAGGTCGGGTCAAGTCCACCTCCTCGACGCGCTGCAGCCCGGGTCGGCTCTTTGCCCGAAACACAGAAAATGGTCACTAAAAGAGCCCCTAGGGCGCGCGAGGGTTAGGTTAGGCCCATTTATTTGCCTTGTTCCGTGTTTTTGGCCAGAATTCGACCCGGGCTGCAGCGCGTCGAGGAGGTGGACTTGAGCCGACCTGCACGTGTGCAATACGGGAGACTAAGACTCGTAAAGCAGGACCGAGTTCTGAACCTCTCGCTGACAAGTGGAGCCGACAGCCGAGTGGCGAGCGTGCTGGCACGTGGTCACCTGAGTAAGCTCGGTCTGGGGATCGAATCCTGGTCGGGGCGGAACTTTTCCCCGTTTTATTGGAGACGGCTATGTGGCCGCCAGAGACACCGTACATTTGGCTCCACCGTTGAAGCGCCATCCGCCATATTGTCTTGGCAGGGAAATTGGTATAGTGCCCGGTCGCGACGCAGATGATCGCACGTTCAAATCCCGACCGGGGAGCATTTTTCTTTCTGTGTTTTCATGTGTTTTCCTGGCGTCAGTGGCAGTAGTCGGGAAAGACATACGCACAAGCGGACAATGGCAGTTCACCGGCAGTCAGTGGCCGAGTGGGTTAGGGCGTCTGCGACTAATCGCTTCGGTGTGGGAACGACTCCCACTCGAAGCGGGCGGTCCACGACTTTTCTCGCTCCTCCGCTCTCTATTGCGAAGGGGTGAACGCACAAACAAGACTCTCGCAGCGGTCAACAGTATCGTGGCGGCGTAGCCTAGTCGGTAAAGTGCCAGCTCGGAGAACCGATGGTCAGAGGTTCGAAGCCCACTAGTAATTCGTTTTCCACTTTCCGTTTGCAACAGCCGGGCGAAGGCAGCTCAAATATGATCCAGACGCCGTTTTCTCTCGCCGCCTAGGTAGTGTAGTGGTATCGCGCTCTAGCTGGCCCCGTCCCCCCGGGGGTCGTTGGTTCGGATCCCCGGACCAGCGGCCCTCTCCCCTCCACTCCCTCCCCCCGGGGCAAGCGATGATGAGGAGCGATACCACTGACACCGAAGCTCATTTTGC